TGTATTTTTTTTTTTTTTTTTTTTTTTGGGATAAGAGACAGAGACTTCAGTAGTAATGATTTCTTTTTCAGGGATCATATAGAGACAGGTTCATTAAACAATCTAAGTCTAAACCACCTAACACATGAGAGACACAAAAGACTAGTTCAAATGGGATAAAAAGCTTCAAAAAATAACAAAACTTAATATTGCAGTCTTTATATTCAAGCAAAGTTAACAACTGAAGTAGCAAACAACAAGACTTGGATAATAACGCCTAAGAAATGAGAGAACCCCTGTTTACCTTTATGCAAACCCGAGATTATTCATCTTCTCGCAATGAGGAGTTGGGAGATTTTTATTCCACTTGCGTCTCTGGAGTTCTATATGACAATAACGCCAAACCATGTTTTTGTAATCCCTAATCACACTACTCTCTATTTCAGATCGAGCTCCGCTTCCAAGAGGATATCTTTCATCAAAATCTGATGATTTGACAAAAAACTCCACTCCATGTTTCTCCGTAGCCATGGGAATACTGTAGGATAGATTTTTATGCAAAGAATAGTCTGGCTCTGGAAAGGGCATATAAGCCAACAAGACAATTAACAAGAATGGTAACATTAGAAGTAAAATCAACAAGTTGGGACCTCCCCCATCAGATTCTGTCCTCCGTTGGCTTCTCGCACCTCCAGTGCTATAAGTATAAGCACGACTCGTCTGAAACATATTTCCTTGCCCAAAGAACGCCCTGAATATCTCATCAGGATCAAAATTTTCTTCAAACAAATCACGACCAGTTCTCCTGCGCCTTACATTATGCTGTTGGTTGTACTCATATTGATCAACCAAAGCTGTGTGGTCATATTGCCTTCTCGACGTGTCATTGCTCAAACACATGAAAGCCTTGGATAATTTCTTGAATGCTTCATCTGAACCAGGAGCCTTGTTCTTATCAGGGTGAACTTTCAAGGACAATTTCTTATAAGCTCTCTTAATTTCTTCAGCCGAACTAGTTTTCTCCACACCGAGAATTTTGTAATAGTCCTTAGCTGTTTTTATCTGCCTGATCAATTGAACATGTTCAATACTGTAATTACGTTCACCATTCAAACCGTCAACATGATTCGCCGAACCAGAAACACTATGAACTTTTCCCGCGCGTTTCCCATCGGAGGAAGATGAAGGTGATTTCGAGTCAATATCCTCGCACGCCGACAATAACTCGTTCACTTCCAAACTCCGATTAAGGCGACAAGCAATTTTAATGAATTTAAGTGCTCGCTCTTTATTCCCCGATGCAATTGCTTCTTCCGCTATGCGAATACATCTTAAAGCTTCGTCCTTATTCCCATCCATAATCGCACCGACACAATCTTTCAAAGAAAACCCTAAACCGCCGGATTTCCTTCAGCACAATTTCATATACAATTCCAACTATACTGATAACAAATTCGAGACAGATAAGACCTAAATTACAGAAAAAAAAAAATAGAAATCCACTATCAAATTTCGCAACAGTACTGGCAGTGAGCGGATCAACAAAATCACATAAGCAAGGCTAAGCTAGAGTATACAGCATTATCATCCACATTATATATACACGATAGATAAGAAAGGATGAGGAGTGAGAGTCGTGCCTGATGAAAGAAGATTGACGGCTTCAAACTCGGAGAAAGATGAGGATCGGGATTCATTCAGAAGATTGAACTCCTAAAAGAAAAAATTTCCCCATGAACACCGAGCTCGGAGTTGGCCTGCTGCAATGGCATTCGTTCGTCAGCAGACAGGACTTTTCATTTCCATTAAAAGCCGTGGAGACTTTCAGAGATTTAAGGTAGAGATTTAAGCAATAAATTTTAAAAAAAATAAATAAATAAGGTATTAATTATAATTTTAACAAGGATGGATGGCTTAATTCTCATTCCAGATAATTACAATATTTATTAAATTTAAAACCCTAAAATAAACACTATCTAAATTTAAATCTAAATTAGGTAACAATTTAAAGTTAAATTAAATTCCTTGAAATTACATTAAAATATAACATCTAGATAAACTTTTAAAATATATATATATATATACCCTGAATTTAAATTTAGTCTAAAAAAATTGTTTATTTATAAAATTGTTTATCTAAATAATTACCATTTTGGATAAAATAGGATTACATGTACACATATCTTAACAATTAAGTATTTCAAGTTCAATCCAATTTATGTAATAAAATATAATTATCGATTCAACATCCGTAAATAATAAACTATATGAAATTATAAATAAATTTCTTTAATAGGAATTGAAATGAATAATACATGGATCACACCAAATTCAACTTTAACTAGATTTACAGTGAGTTAAATTACAAATTAAGTATTAATCACTCTATTTTTTAAATTATAAATTTAATATTTCAATTTTGATATTTTAAGATTTACAAATTTATTAAATATAAAATTAAAAAAAATTAAAAATATATTAACACAAAAGGAAGATTTTAAAATTTTATTAAGACTTCACTCAAAATTAAGTTTGAAAAGTCTATTCCCTGTTCGCCTATGGTCCCTTGAATTGATTTATCATTGGAATCGTTTCATGATCCATAAGAATAAGTCTGTCTCCATGTTAACTAAATAGACACAACTTAAAAGTAAAGAAATTGATAATTAAACTTTAAAGGTTTATTCTTAATTTAGATCACGACAACGTCGATCAAATGGAGGATTTCCACCTAAACATCATTTTGCTATGAAAACCTTAACTAATTGGATCTAAGAACGTTTACGAACATACAAACTCCTAAATCACAAATGTTAAAACTCTTGAATCCCGAATCAAGAAGATTTCCACCTAGACATGGTTTAGATATGAAAACCTTAAGTAATTGGATCTAAGAACATTTACAAACATACAAACTTCTAGATCACAAATGTTAAAACTCTCGAATCTCGAATTTAGTACAAATTTACCTTAATCACACGAAATTTCTCACATTCACGAGCCATTCTCAACACATTCTCTCATACTTCTAAGGTATAACCATTCTAATAAGCTTCTATTTCACACGGAAGAAGAAATTAAATACATAAACAAAAGAGAACAAGATTACAACAACATAGAAAGCTTCACAAAATATCAAACTACGTTACCTGGTTAGCCTATGCACATTAGTTTTCTTCATCAGAATCAAAAGACTGCCGTTTCCTCACAGATTCAATCACATTCAAGCGTGAGGTATTTGCGCCATTGTTTCCACCAGTACGAGACTTGAGTTTAGGCAAACTTAGAGAACCAAGAGGCGGCGTCGAAGTCCCTCTATTCACTTCCCTAAGCACAGACTTAGCAGTGGCTGCAGCGGCTACATCAGCAATGGCTGAAGCAACTCTTGAGTCCTTTTGGAGTTTGGAGGTTAGCTTGCTAATGGAGTTTCTAACATGAGGAGGAGCCTCAGGAGAAATATAATTAGTTGACTTTTGCATCTCGTTGACCGCTGCGGCCGCGGCCGACTTAGCTTTGGTAGCTTCGTACTTTTGAATGTCATAGACAAGCTCTTTCTGAAGTTGCTTATCAGCTACCAACATGTCATCGATGTCGTTCTTGTAGTCTTTGAGAAGAACTAGAAGACATTCCATAAGAGAACCTATTTTCACAAAAGTATAAAAGGTTAAACATATCACAGGTTCGGTTTGAAACAACTTTCTAGCATTTAAAGAAGTGATTTCACACCTATAAGAGGGCTATTCTTGCTTTCCATTAGCCTTTTTAGCTCAGTGAAGATGGGAAGGGAGTTTTGAATGAGACTTTTTCTCACAACATGAGTGATAACCTTTCCTCTAGCAGCAGACGCCCCTCCGCTCTCGCCTCCTTCCTCATCTACATCACCAGATTCCGACGACGACCCTCGATTTATTGATAATCGAATCTCCTTACAAGCAAGAATATCAAAGGTGTCCTGTGATCTCAGCCAAGGAGAACTAATAAGATTCTAGTATGTAAACACTAAACAAGAGAAAAGAAGAGAAGAAAAAATACAAAGATTGTTGAAAGCTTTTGAATTTGAACCTGTAAAACAGACCGTGCAGTGGTATCATCCATACTGAGTTTACCATCTGAAGCTTCACCAAGAATCTCTGAACATAGCTTTGCAAAGGTGGCCAGGAGATGTTCGGGAGACATTTGTTTTAACAAAGAAACATAAATGTGCATTCTCTTGCGCCTCGAACTTTCATCATTACCTCTAAGAATATGAACTTTAATCATTTTCCATTACAGATAATTGTGATAACATGTCACAAAGTTCAAACATTCCTTACCGAATGGAGAATAATCGGCTTTCAGCTCTCGAAGCCTTCGAATCGTTATGTCCAGAATGGGCACGACAGTCATTCAGAACATAAATTGCTTCTACAAAACTGTTGTAAGCCAAAAGTGGCGCCTTTACTGCAAATTCAGTTTCACAATTCAAAAGTATTGGCATGTTGTAATGATGTGATCAATATTATAACCATGAGAACGAATAGTAATGCTAACCTTTTAAAATGTTCCCGAAAAGGAAATCTGCTAGTTGACGAATCTTCTCTGATTCGTCGACAAGTGAGAAGAGAAACCGAAGAAACAAAACCCCTCTCCATTTCACGTAGTCTCTCTGAAAATTAAAATGGTATTTGTGAGAACCCACGTCGGTTGGAGAGGAGAACGAAGCATTCATTATAAGGGTGTGAAAACATCTCCCTAGCAAACACGTTTTAAGAACTTTGAGGGGAAGCTAAAAAGGGAAAGCCCAAAAAAGAACAATATCTGCTAGCGTTGAGCTTGAGCGTTACAGTATTATGTGAAAATCTGGAGAAGTTTTTAGGGGTTGGGGAATGAAGAATTACCTGTAGTAATCTCGATAGAAGTATGAATGTGTGTCTTCTGACAAGTTCACAAGGGTCGCGAAGGCATTTCGTGATCTTCGTAAGGTAGCTGTTCAATACAGAGATGGTTAGATAGTAACATGTAAGAAACATTAAAAGACTTCACTATGATTGCCATTGCCAAACACTCACATCGTGCATTAATCTTACCAATCAACTAGAGCAGTATAGCGTACACAAAAATCTGCCATCGTGATAACAAGGTTGTTGCGGAGAGCTGCACAGTCACTATTTTCAAGCTCCTGAACTAATATAAAACTTTTAGGCCACTAGAGGTGTATCAAAAATAAATTATGATTGCATAAAAGACGCTGATAAAGTAGTATGTACAACGATTATAGCTTTGATATCTATTAGAAGACATGGAGGAAGAACTTTAATTATTTATTTATTATATATATGTACATAAGAAGAGAGAACTTCAATAACAAACAGATAGATCAAAATTTATGGGTAGGGGGAACACTTCAATTCTACAATGGATGATATTTCAAAACGAGTATATGATTGAACTCATATAGTTATCGTGGTATTATTCCTTTAACCAGACTAATGCCAGAAATCTACTTGTTTAAACAACATTCACGTAAATCATAAAAAATCACGACTCTCTACAATGGTATGATATTGTCCACTTTGAGCATAAGCTCTCGTGGGTTTGCTTTTGGCTTCTCTAAAAGGCCTCATATCAATGGAGATGTATTCCTTACTTATAACTTCATGATCATTCCCTAAATTAGCAAGACTCCCTCCCAACTTCTCAACGATATACGTGAATGAAGAATCAAAGCCTAACCTGTAAAAATAGAGGAATGTAGCTCTTTGCACACTTCTCGTCAGCAAGGCAAATCTTCCCCATTGTCAACCATGCTTGAACGTATAAAGAAGGCGCAGTTTCCTTTATAGATACCGTTTGAATAGGTAGTTTATTCGATTTGGGATCACGGTTTCCAGAAGTGATAATGGTGTGGAGAAGTGGTATGATGGTAGTTATGTCAGCAGATGGACAGATGATAATCAAAGAGCCAATGGTGTAAGCGGCAGTGATTGCTCGTGACAGGGACTTGCTCGGGGCAGTTGCACGCTTTCCCAATCTACTACCACTTTTAGGAGGTGGTGTTATGAAGTTCACATCTTTTTTTGCTTTTCTATGCTTGGATATATACTTCTCCAATATTTGAGAGGCTTTGGAGAGCAGCTGGTTTACCCATGTTAGGATCAGCGTATCGGCTTCAGCAGATTGCATAGCCTGCCGTTTGCACAATGTTTTAAGTGTTTTTACATGCGCATTCACCTACCAAGAGATCACCATTAAATACAAATGCGTGTGAGATATCAAGAAAAACAGACTGGAATAGTAAGTATTGATCTATCAAAATTGATGCTTGGCAGGCAAATTACTATAAGAAAATCCAAACCCAGAACATTTTTGGCTTGTATTTAGATTATTACTTGATCACTGTTTTCCATAAATTTTTCAAATATTCTGGATGTTTACAGGCCTCTTTTCCCATTTTAAAGATGTTTGAAACAAGAATGGTGAAGCAAAATAAAAAATAAGAAAAAATCCCAATTGCAAAACACATGCAGGTGCTCTCACACGCATTGGCTGATGAGATGAACTTATCATGAATAGCTAACTACCCACGCTCACCAGCCATCTATTCATGTTCACTGCAGAAGAGTTGTTAGCCAATTCCAATAAGAATTTTCCCCCACTTCAATGACATTTTAGTGAAACAGTACGCATACATGCTAAAAATGTTTGGAAATAATTTTGAAACCATTAAACTCATTTTAAACGTGTCTTTAATTAATTAAAATCAATTTTGATAGCATAAAACTTGACATTTAATTGACTTTAAATGATAAAAGAACATGCTCTGATAAAGGTAATTTTGACTATTTCAAAATCATTCTCAAACACGTCCTTAATAACTACTCAGAAACATAGAGAAATATTATACAGCATAGAACTGTATCCATGATGAACAGTGTTCATTTTTACCATTAATAGGCTAGAGGATGACATCTTTGTCCGTGGAAGTGTGTTAAGAAACTACTTATTGGTGAATTTAATCTTGATTATCTAATCAACAGCATTGGAGAAATAAACCAACAATTATAGACTGTAAAACAAAGTCTGAAAACAATCCTTTTGATGCTTACCTCGGTAGAATGCATGCTGAATTCTTCAACCTTTTTAATCAATTCGTGAGCCAACTTTTCTGCAGGTTCTGGAGGCAGCTCAAGAGAAACATTAGAGATGGTTTGCAAGAGAAAAACTCGATCTTGAGCCCAAGCGATGGAATTTGACTCTGGGTTGTTTTCATCTCCGAATAAACCTACTTGAGCCACTGGACTCCCAAACTCAGTCCTACCATGATCATCCAGGATTTTCCAGTGATGATGAAGAAACTCCCAGTCCACTTCTTTCACAAGATAAGCTGACACTTCCGACAGCAGGAACCAGGCACCCGGGGGAGCTGTCCACTTCTCCGGTGGTAAGGATTGCCTTAGCCATAGGGATTCAGATGTCCCTATAATCTTCTGAAGTGAAACGGCAATTGAGGGTTTTAATCGTTTCTTTTTTCCCAAGTTAGCACAAACTTTCTTCACCCACGGCATTACCTCTGCATGACTTATCTCTTTAAGAAGATCCAATACTCCAGGAATTAACAACTCAAATTGCCTCTTTAAATCAAGTGTTCTTGATCCATCACGGGGTAAACTTGAAGATCCAACTCTAGACAGCCGGTCAAGTACTAGTTCTTGAAACAAGTTTTCACACTCTTCTTGAATGCTAGATTCATTATCAGCAATCAAACGTGGAATAGAATGTAGCCACTCGACAGTGACACTTTCATCTGGGAATCTTCGGAAGGCCTAAGAGTAAATAATGATTCAAACGTGAGACCAATAATGAATGAAAATTTGAAATTGTAACTATTAGCAGTTGGGCACAGCAGAAAATGAGAGAACTAACTCCAAAATATCAAAAGCTCCAAAGAAGATGACCAATAGTAAAAGAGAATTTAATATATCATACAACCACTATAGGATCAATGATCACTTAGTTTCATTTACCTCATTTAAGACGACAACTTTATTTTAATTTTTATGTGGATATGCACGGTTATCAGCAAGGAATGAAAGGAAAGAGACAGGAGAAAACAACGTTTGCTTCGTGAGAAAATTAGCGAACGTGGACTCCGTCCCAACAATTCTCAACAATCCTCTTCTAGAACAAAGTATACTATAGAGCCTCCCCTGAGGCCTATGGAGCCCTCGAACAGCCTCTCCATAATCGAGGCTAGACTCATTTTCTGGAGTCCTCGAACAAAGTACACCCTTTGTTCGACACTTGAGTCGCTTTTGCTACACCTTCGAGGTTCGCAATTTCTTTGTTCGACATTTGAGGATTCTATTGACATTGTTCATTTAAGGACATGGCTCTGATACTATGTTAGGAATCACGAACCTCCACAATAATATGATATTGTCCACTTTGAGCATAAGCTCTCGTGGCTTTGCTTTTGGTTTCTCCAAAAGGCTACTCATACTAATGGAGATGTATTCCTTACTTATAAACCCATGATCATTCTCTAAGTTAGCCATGGTTGGGACTCAATCCTCAACACCTCATACCAACTAAACACATTATATAAACTTTAAACTTGTTAAAAACGTTTGTGATTCACCTCAGAAAGAGCCAACATTGCAGCTTTCCGTATGCTAACAAGTGGGTCGGAACAAGCAATTCCAACGGTCTTCAGCATATCTCCATCCATTGATCCACCAAGGAGGGCTGTACACTTGGTAACCAGAAATAACGCAGCCTTCCTAACTGCCGCCTTCTCATCCACACACCTTTTTCGCAAACGAGCATGAATTTCACTTCCATTCTTTTTGCAATGTCTGTCACCAGACCCCAACACTTCCTTCAGTAAGGCCTTATTCTTGTCATTGTCAGACAAGAACACCACAAGGTGAGCTAAGTTGGATAGTGCCCGGGCACGAATTGTAGCACCAGCATCTGAACATCGTTGGACCAATGCCACCAAGCACCCAAATCTCCACGAATCCTTCAGTTCACTTTCGGAATCAACGGCCACTGGATCACTCAAGGACATTATCAGCGTTGAGATAAGATCACTAGCTAACAGCCTAAGATTAGACTTTCCTCGGGTCATCTTCACTACATAATCCACAAACCCAATTTGATCCTTGAATTCCATCACTTTAACAACCTCCATTATTGAATCAACAGCTAAAGCACGAGGCTCGGATTTCTCAGGTGCCTTCTGAACCAAATACCTTGGAAGATTCACCAGAGCGCTTTTAACACCATCTGATTCCTTTGCTGCATTCGCTATTTGAATAGTGACAAACTCCAGCGCAAACGCTCGCGCCTGATCTTTATGATGAAGAATCAATGGTGATAGAGATTTAATCACCTCAGCGGCAATACTCACCAGATCCCCATGCTCAGGACGCAATGTAGCACTCAAAATCCGCGAACATAAATTGGTTAACTTACTATAGATACTTAAATTACTGCATACTTCTAGTGCCAAAACCGGAATATCAATTACAGTTTCAACCAAAGATTTCAAACTATCAGGGAATCGATCCAAATGAATCAAACTCATTAATATCCCTAACCTCTCAAGCACAGGATACAAGACTCTTGCATCGAATTCACCATCATGATGTCCGCCATTAAAACTCTGCCTCTGCGCACAATTCCTCAAACCCTTACCCTTAACACCGCCTTTCCTCTTCCGTTTGGGAGCAATGGACTCCTGATTCGGCGTAGTCCGTGGTCGCTGCTTCAAGAATCGTCTCATAGACCTGAGAAACGAAAGAAAATCCATCGGATTGAACAGCGTGAAAACTGGTGCATTTGGGGCCAGAAGAAGGGACAAATAGACTTTAGAGGCTAAGATCGAAACGCGAGGGGAAGGCTCATCCATGGCGGAGGCGATGGCGCGGATGAGGGAGGACGGAGACAGGGATTTGGCAGAGAGGTCTTCGTAGAGGCGATCGACTGGTTGTTGTTCATCGGTACCGATTGAGTTGTCCAACAAGCTTTGAAGGTTGAAGAGAGCGGACTCGGAGAGCGGCGGCGGAGGCTGAGAATGGAGATTTGTAGAGCCGTCGAAACAGCGAGCTTCTTCGAGCTCTGTGAGGATTCGAGAAACGGCTTCCTCCATGGCTGTGAAGTGTGAAGTTCGGAGGTCGGTCGCGATAAATCGCCGACGTCTCCAGTTGTGTTCGAATCTTCGAATTTTAACTTCCCGCTTAAAAGCCTTTCTCACAGCAGTCTCTCATCGGATGCCACGTGGATATTAAACACTTTTGGGAATTATTTTATTTTAATACTTAATTTGGTTATTTTTAATAAATTTTAAAATAGTCTTTGCATTTTCAACAAATAATTAGTTTTTAACATCTTCGCAAACCCAATCTCTATTTAAAAAGAAAAATGCAAAAACTAAACCTCTAGCCGCTCATATGCTATTCAAAATTGAAACCATAACATCTTTAGCGGTATACTAGTCTACCTTATCTAGCAAAGTGAAGATCTCACTTATCTGAAGTAGTATTTTGGTATAGAATAAAAGTATCATCAACCGACAATTATTGTGAGACCCCACGTCGGTTGAGAGTGGAGCAAACCATTATTTATAAGGGTGTAGAAACCTCTCCAGCGTATACGCATTTTAAAACCATGAGGCTGACCGTGATATATAACAGACCAAAGTAGAGTTAGAGAAAGAACTAAAGCATTCTTCATAAGTGTGTGGAAACCTCTCCCCAATAGACACATTTTTAAACCGTTGTCGGTAATACGTAACAAGCCAAAACAAACAATATCTATTAACGTTAAGCTTGAGCTATTACAACTACTACTACAAGTACACCTACACATTTAATGTAGTGGTCTGGAAGCATGCTATCTTGACCATCTGCACATCTACTACTATAGACACATTTTTAGACCGTGAGGCTGCCAGTGATACATAACAGGTCAAAGCAGACAATATTTATTAATGTTAAGCTTGAGTTGTTACAACTACTGCTACATGCACATTTGCACATCTAATGTAGTGGTCTGGAAGCTTGCTACCTTGACCATCTGCACATCTACTACTATAGACACATTTTTAAAACGTGAGGTTGTCGGTGAAACGTAACAAGTCAAAGCAAACAATATCTATTAACATTAAGCTTGAGCTGTTACAACTACTACTACATACACATCTGCACATCAATGTAGTGGTCGGTAAGCATGCTACCTTGACCATCTGCACATCTACTACTATAGATACATTTTTAAATGAGACTGTCGGTGATACGTAACAGGCCAAACCAGACAATATCTATTGGTGATACGTAATAGGCAAAACCAGACAATATCTATTAACGTTAAGCTTGAGTTATTACAACTACTACTACATGCACATCTGCACATCTAATGTAGTGGCCTGGAAGCATGCTACCTTGACCATATGCACATCTACTACTAGACACATTTTTAAACCATACGGTTCCTAGTGATACGTAACAAGTCAAAGCAAACAACATCTATTAACGTTAAGCTTGAGCTGTTACAACTACTACTATATACACATCTGCACATCAATGTAGTGGCCGGGAAGCATGCTACCTTGACCATCTTCTTCTCGAATCGCTAGCTATTCCGAAAAAGATACGAACCATCAAAATGTTATATATTTATATTGATTAAAAAAGAATTACTATATAGATTCATAAAACATATAACCACAAAGGTTCAAACTTGAACAAAATGAAAAGAAGCAAAGAAAGAAGGAAAATTTCACAAAAAGCGGAGAAGAGAGAAGAGAAGAGGGGAGGGAGAGAGGTAAATTAGGCCCTTAGAATAAAAATTGTGGATTAGCAGACAAAGAAAGAAAGAGGTTGGATGAATGGGATCCCTCCCCGGCCCTCTTTCTTTGCTCTCTTCGGTCTGCCAAATGTTATTCCTTGGGGGAAGTAATTGAGAGACCTCTTATTCTAAAGTGTATTTGAGAAGAGAGGTAGGTGTGACTAGACGGAGGAGGTGGTGGAGAGGGTGGAGAGGGTGGCGGCGGCGGCGGAGGAGGAGGAGGAGGCGTCGTCTTTGAGGTCGCCGAAGATGCGCTGACGGAAGTCGGAAACCATAAGGGGAAGGCCCTTACGAAGGGACACAGAGGGCTCCCAACCAAGAAGCTCCTTAGCTTTGGAAATGTCGGGCTTCCTCTTGTGTGGGTCGTCTTCGGTGTTCGGCCTGAACTCTATCCTTGCATTTGGATCTATTGTCTCTTGCACTACCTGCACATCACAATCCATTACATCGATATGAACATAGTTTAATAATAACTTTCATTAATGTTTCGGTACTCAAAATTAGTTGACTAAAGTTCGAATTTTTAGTCATATTTTTCGGTTCGAACTCACAAAATACAAACAATAGTTCATATCTATCCATTTCTACAATATCTAGCTCATTACTCTTAGTCCCGTGTTAATTTGAGCCTAATTTAACTTGTTAAAGTGTTACTAATTTTTTTTAGAGAAAAATTCTAATTCAAATGACTAAAGGTTTGAATCCTTAATCATATTCCTTATCAGCACTCGACAAATTAAAAAAAAAATACTTAACTACACTTCTTCGATAGGTTACAGTACAATTCAAAACTTTTTCTAATATTTTAATCTTATGAGTTTTTAAATTTCTTTCCAAGCATACTTAACAATACTTAACAAATCACTGGTCTCATATCATCATATCATCATATCAGGGATCAAAATTAAAATAAATTTAAACATTCCAACATTAAAATTAGATTTGGTTTAGTACCACAAGTTCGAGGGAGTAAAGAGCTGACCTGAGCAAGTTCAAGCATAGTAAATTCGCCGGGGTTGCCTAGATTGAAAGGGCCCACGTGCTCACCTTCCATGAGTTTCATTAAACCCTCCACCTGTCAGTTTATTGAACAGATCCAACAAAAACTTTAATTTAAAAACTATATATATATATGATAGTTTCTTCTCTAGATTATCCTAATTTGAGTTCCATTTCCAATTTATGATAATATTAACAGTCATTTTATGATGATAGATAGATGTATAAAAATATATTTAAAGGCCTTACCAGATCAGAAACGTATTGAAAGCTTCGGGTCTGCTTGCCATCTCCATAAACTGTCAACGGCTCCTTTCTCAATGCCTGTGGGGGTTTTTGACAGAGTAATTTATTAGATTTGTGTACAAAATTTAAACTAACCTAACGTCTACCCAATATATTAATAATGATGCAAGTTTTTGACAACTAAATGACCTCGCTAATTATGAATGTTCTTTTTCGGGTAAATTTTATAGCCTTACATGCTCCTACGAGATTGAGCGGTAAAACACAATGTATACGTGAATAGAATAAGAGATCGAAATATAATGTTACAATCCCGATCAAAAGTGTTCAACTTAATGTTCGGAGATAGAAATTTGAAACTCCAAAAATAATAAGCTAAATTTGGTGGCAATCGGACACCGGATAGATGCTCCATTACGTCTGTTTGCCAAAGTCACGTTTATGTATGGAGTATTGAAAATAACTCAAAATGTATTATAAGGAGGCATGGTGTCAGCTCTCCACCATTCTAAGGCTTGTGGCCTAAGCGAGTTGCTCTCCACCATTCTAAGGCTTGTGGCCTAAGCGAGTTACCCTGTGGCACAGGGCGAGCACGCCGAGACTATTGTCTCAGGCGACTTCGTTTGAAATGGGTCTAGCTACCCTGTGTCATAGGGCCAGCATGTCGAGACGAGTGTCTCGGGAGACTTGCTTTGAAATGGGTCAGCTATCCTGTGGCATAGGACAATCATGTCAAGACGAGTGTCTCGGGTAACTTATTTTGAATGGGTCTAGCTACCCTGTGCCACAGGGCTAGCATGCCGAGACGAGTGTCTCTGGAGACTTGCTTTGTAATGGGTCTAGCTACCCTGTGCCACAGGGCGAGCATGCCGAGACGAGTGTCTCTGAAGACTTGCTTTGTAATGGGTCTAGTCTAGCTACCCTGTGCCACAGGGCGAGCATGCCGAGACGAGTGTCTCTGAAGACTTGCTTTGTAACGGGTCTAGTCTAGCTACCCTGTGCCACAGGGCGAGCATACTGAGACGAGTGTCTCGAGAGACTTGCTTGGAAATGGGTCTAGCTACCCTGTGGCCTGGGGCGAGCATATCGAGACAAGTGTCTCAGACAATTTCATTTGAAATGGGTTTTTCAAGAACAATACCCAATGACACGGGTGTGCATGTAGACAATTACTATTAAACTATACTTATTCATAAACCGTTTTTTTTTAATTATGAAAATTTATTTTTAGCTAAAAATCGTTATGATATTATAAAAATAAAACTTTTAAAACTCTAGCATTTATAGCATTTTAGAGATTAAAATATATACACGAGGATTCGAACCCTGACTTTTTGAACAACATGAACTCACAACACTCCTAAATAAATAATTTTTTATTTGGTTATTAAAATTGCTTGCAGAATTTGATGGGTTTTAGGATTACAAAGCACATGGTTGTTTTGCAACAGAATATACAGTGGGGACCACGTGCCATGAACTCTTAGTGGCCGTACATTAACAGAAAGCGTACCTGTGCTACAAAATTGCTCACAACTCGTCCGTCATCGATGCACATCCGTGGTCCATAAGTGTTGAATATCCGAGCAATCCGGACCTGTAAGAAAATGGCAGATTCCAATCATGGCTGCCTACTCTAATTTTCTAACTAACATTTGGCTAAACAGAGCTTTCAGTAAAAAGTGGAGTTGCGACCTCAATGCCAAGGCCTCTGTGGTAATCCATTGTCAGAGTCTCCGCCGTGCGTTTTCCTTCATCGTAGCAGCTCCGAACACCTGCAAAGAGAAGGCCGATTGGCGGCAAGGAGCATAATCAGTAAACGAAACGGAAATGGAGGAAATGAAAAAACAGAGTACTGGCAGCCATGGCAGAGGGTTACCGATGGGGTTGACGTTGCCCCAGTAGGTTTCAGCCTGCGGGTGTTGGAGCGGATCGCCGTAGACTTCGCTGGTGCTGGTCAGCAAAAAGCGAGCGCCAACTCTCTTCGCAAGCCCTAGCATGTTCAATGTGCCGACGACATTGGTCTTGTGATCTCAATCAGGTTAAAGAAACCAAATCACATAATCGAAAAAGGAGGTTGCAGAAATACAAACAGAGAATGGATAAGCTCAAT